ATGGGTTCACAGCTGAATTCTACCAGACATACAAAGAGGAGCTGGTACCATTCCTTCTGAAACTATTCCAAATAATCCAAAAAGAGGGAATCCTTCCCAAATCATTTTATGAGACCAACATCATCCTGATACCAAAACCTGGCAGAGACTCAGCAAGAAAACAAAACTTCAGACCAATATCCATGATAAACACAGATGCAAAACTCTTCAATAAAATACTGGCAAACTGGTTGCAACAGCAGATCTAAAAGCTTATCCACCATGATCAAGTAGGCTTTATCCTGGGGATGCAAGGCTGGTTCAACATACACAAGTCTATATATGTAATTCACCACATAAACAGAACCAAAGACAAAAACCACATGATTATCTCAATAGATACAGAGAAGACCTTTGATAAAATTCAACAGCCCTTAATGCAAAAACCCTCAATAAACTAGGTATTGATGGAACGTATCTCAAAATAATAAACACTATTTATGACAAACCCACAGCCAATATCATACTGAATGGGCAAAAACTGGAAGCATTCCCTTTGAAATGTGGCACCAGACAAGGATGCCCTCTCTCACCACTCCTATTCAATATAGTATTGGAAGTTCTAGCCAGAGCAATCAGGCAAGAAAAAGAAATAAAGCGTCTTCAATTAGGAAAGGAGGAAGTCAAACTGTCTCTATTTGCAGATGACATGATTGTATATTTAGAAGACGCCATGGTCTCAGCCCAAAATCTCCTGAAACTGATAAGCAAGTTCAGCAAAGTCTCAGGATACAAAATCAATGTGCAAAAATCACAAGTATGCCTATACACCAATAACAGACTTAAAGAGAGCCAAATCAAGAACAAATTGCCATTCACAATTGCTACAAAGAGAATAAAATGCCTAGAAATACAACTAACAAAGGATGTAAAGGACTTATTCAAGGAGAACTACAAACTACTGCTCAACGAAATAAGAGACGACACAAGCAGATGTAGAAACATTCCATGCTCATGGTTAGGAGGAATCAATATCATGAAAATGGTCATACTGCTCAAAGTAATTTACAGATTCTACATTATCCCCATCAAGCTACCAATGACCTTCTTAACAGAACTGGAAAAAAACACCTTAAAGTTCATATGGAACCAAAAGAGTGCCTGCATAGCCAAGTTAATTCTAAGCAAAAAGAACAATGCTGGAGATATCACACTACCTGACTTCAAACTATACTGCAAGGCTACAGTAATCAAAACAGCATGGTACTGGTACCAAAACAGATATACACCAGTGGAACAGAACAGAGGCCTCGGAGGCAATGACACACATTTACAACTATCTGATCTTTGACAAACCTGACAAAAACAAGCAATGGGGAAAGGATTCCTTGTTTAATAAATGGTGTTGGGAAAACTGGCTAGCCATGTGCAGAAAGCAGAAACTGGATCCCTTCCTGACACCTTACACTAAAATTAACTCCAGATGGATTAAAGACTTAAACTTAAGATCTAACACCATAAAAACCCTAGAAGAAAATCCAGGCAAAACCATTTAAGACATAGGCATAGGCAAAGACTTTATGACTAAAACACCAAAAGCATTGACAACAAAAGCCAAAATAGACAAATAGGACCTAATTAAAATCCAGAGCTTCTGCACAGCAAAAGAAACAGTTGTTAGCATGAATCAGCAACCAACAGAATGGGAAAAAATTTTTGCAATTTATCCATCTGACAAAGGGCTAATATCCAGAATCTACAAAGAACTAAAACAGATTTACAAGAAAAAAACAAACAAGCCCATTCAAAAGTGGGCGAAGGATAGGAACAGACATAGTTCAAAAGAAGACATATATGAGGCTGACAAACATATGAAAAAATGCTCATCATCACTGGTCATTAGAGAAATGCAAATCAAAACTATGGTGAGATACCATCTCACACCAGTTAGAACTGCTATCATTAAAAAATCTGGAGACAACAGATGCTGGAGAGGATGTGAAGAAATAGGAACACTTTTACACTGTTGGTGGGAGTGTAAATTAGTTCAACCATTGTGGAAGTCAGTGTGGCGATTCCTCAAGGACCTAGAAATAGAAATTCTATTTCACCCAGCAATCCCATTACTGGGTATATGTCCAAAGGATTATAAATAGTTATATTATAAGGACACATGCACACAAATGTTCATTGCGGCACTGTTTACAATAGCAAAGACTTGGAACCAACCCAAATGCCATCGATGATAGAGTGGACAGGGAAAATGTGGCACATATACACCATGGAATACTATGCAGCCATAAAAAAACAATGAATTCATATCCTTTATAGGGACCTGGAAACCATCATTCTCAGCAAACTGACACAAGAACAGAAAATCAAACACCACATGTTCTCACTCATAGGTGGATGTTGAACAATGAGAACACATGGATACAGGGAGAGGAGCATCACACACTGGGGTCTTGGGGGGAAATAGGGGAGCGACAGCAGGGGGTTGGGAGTTGGGGAGGGATAACATGGGGAGAAATACCAGATATAGGTGATGGGGAGGAAGGCAGCAAACCACACTGGCATGTGTGTACCTATGCAACAATCTTACATGTTCTTCACATGTACCCCAAAACCTAAAATGCAATAAAAATAAATACACACTTTTATCTCTTGCTTTGAGTTTTCATTTCTGAAAAGTTCCCATGTCACATAAAAGTGACATTAAATAATTTATACAATTTTATTAATTTGCCTTTTGTTATAGGGGCTCAACCATAATCCTAGCAATGGGAAAGAAAACCATCCTGTACTTTCTACAAGTATATCCAATGTGGTCTTGGCTTTCTATTTAAATATATTGGATAACTATGTAATATATATATATATATATATATATATACACACACACACACACATATATGTGTGTGTATATATATATATATATATATATATATATATACATTTGCACAAAAAGTAAGCATTTCTTTGTATCATTAATATATAAATGATACAAAGTCTAAAGAGGTATGCAAAGATTTGGTCTGGGCTGTCTTGGATTGCAAGTCATTTTACATTTTCTTTATATGTTTTGCAGTTTCCGTTCCAGATTTTCTGCAAGCATGTATTTTATAATTTGACAAACTTTTTAAAAAATATTGTTCTGTAGAGAAGGATAGAAAGGGACCAGGCTGAGGCAGATGCCAGTTGTTTTATGGCTGACAGAATAATCGGAGTAAGAAATGTGAGACACGAAATGCAGGGATGAGGAAAAATTTGAGAAAGATCATTTAACAAACTAGAACCTACAGAAGTTGGACAACGGGTATATGAGTGTGCCATTCCCTGAAGTTGGAAATACAGCAAACTAACAAGTTTGGAATGGGGAGAAGACAAATAGGATATTTGGGACTGTTGAGTTTGAGATGCCTGGGGACCTCTAGACAAGGTTGTCTAATAGATAGTGGGATATAGATCTGGAACCTTGAAGAGTGGTATCAGATGAGAGTACACATTTGGGAGTCATGTTGTATAATTGTTCATTGTTTTGATGCAGAACATAATGGAGAGCCTTCACAGAAGCACACTGAACAGAAGATAAAGCTCTAGGGAAGAGTGAGGTAAATAGAGAGAAGGCTGAGGATGCTAAGAGCAACCAGAAAATCAGAGTGTAACATAGCAAAACCAAGCGAAGAAAATTTCAAAAAGAAACAGACATGGCCAGAGATAAGAATTTTTTGGTAAGACTAAAGACCATGCTTTTTGGATTGCTAGTCAAGATTGTACGTGATCTTAATGAAGCTTTTTCTGGAGTGGTTCCAGTGAAAGACAGACTGTAAAAACTTGGGAGGCAGAAGGAGGCTCCAAATGTAGGTTTGGAATGACTTGGTGAATGTAGATCATCTTCTCAGGAAGCATGGGAACAAATAAAGAGGGTGAGGGTCCCAGGCATTTTTACCTGTCAAAGACTGCTTTCCTTGTCCATAAAACAAGGAAATACAGGTAGTACCTTTTTAGCAGTGGTGTCCTAAGGATTAAAATCTATTACTAAGGAAATATACTTGTGTCCTTTGGCTGAATCAAAATTTATTGTTGCTAATCACCATGTATTCATTTTCATAATGTCTTAATCATTAAAGTCGAGTGAATAACAAAACACAGTTAACTGGCTCTGTGTTTCCCTAGCTCAAGTTATTTGACTGTATATACCCAAGTTTGACCTTAAAAGATATTAATATTTCATTCCTTTAGCACTTGGAGCAAGGACAGTTTCAGTTTGGTCTGGAAATAAAGCAGAATTTCTCCTCTCATTGTGCCTTCCAAACTGAAGAAGTGGCCTCAAATGGAGATCCTAAGAGGAAATGTCACTTGATTTATGAATCAGTGTACCCCACTGAGAATACCTATTGTGGATCAGTTTAATATCCCAAAATTTCTTCAGATCCAACTATTGGCATCTCTGTCAAGAGATGTCTTGACAGACACTTTTCCTGTTTTGAAGGTTTCAAAAGACCTAATGAGTTTATGCTTTATGAAGTCATACAGCCATGGATGTGATGTCACAATTGTGGCCAGCTCACCAGGAAGCAGGCAGAGCAGGAAAGGCTGAGTCCACACTGCAAGTGCAGAGAGCAGGAAACTACCTTGAGTTTTTCTATCCAAACCCAAGTCTCAGAGTTCCTCAATTTCCCAAGAAGGCAGTGATAGAGGCCACAACCCAGGGGTTCATCTCTCAAGGCACCAATAGCTTTGCAGGTAAGAACATGGGGCCTCCTCTCTTTCCAGACAGTGCAACGGAAAAGCTCAGCAGTTCAGACATTTCTAACCTAAAAGAAGGGTTCTGATCACCAGAAAACAAAACAAAACCAAAAACAGACTGAGGAAACAGAAAATACATCATCCTTTTAGAGTATTATTTTTTATAAATATGCCCTTAATTTAGCCTAGTTAGTGAAAATTTCTCAAGTGTGTATGTGTCTGTACGAACGTTGTGTATTTTAAACTTTTTGGAGCTTAGCCAGAAATTTCGAAAGCTAATCCTAGCAAAATTTCCCTTTAAGGATGTCCTGCAGAGAATTTGTTACTCATAGTTTGAAGTAAAAATTGACAAGAAGTGCTTTTTCAGCTCTGGAGGAGTCATGTGCATGTCATAAGACTTGAAGGAAATGCAGGGACCCTCCTATTTTCTCCTGCAAAGTTGAAAAATCTGCATGCCATTGGAAGGGATCTTCAGATGGTGCTGGTGACTTTCTGTTCCTTTTGGAGTTGACATGCATATGGATTGGTGGAAAAATAATCAGCATACATTCTCCTTTCATACTGTTTAAATCACAGGAAGAAGTGCCTTGAAGACAAAGTGAGTTCTTTCCCCGAAAAGTTTCCTTTGTTTTGTTCATGTGGTATTTTGACTTCTCTAATTGTTTAAGGATGAGAAATTTTAATAAACCTTACAGTAACTGCTTAAGAGAAAACTTTTGCTTGGAAAAAAAAAGTTTTGAAGTTTCTTAGCCATTTTAGCTAAAGATTATCAAATTTTATATGCTAAGATTTTCAGATTTCTCATTCTTCTAACTTGCATGTGGAGGTAACATAGTGACCAGATAACTCTCTGGAATTGCCTCTTGAGTTTTTCTAATGCTCTTAATGCAGGTATAGCTTTATTGATATAAAAAGAAGAAGAAGAGGAGGGCTCTTGAGATTTTATTTGGCTTAATTTATTTGAATGAATAACATTATCACTGAGGATATTTTATCACTAGATTTATATTTTGAGAGCACATTCTGAAGACACTTACAGGTTTTAAGTAAAAGGAGTTAATGAGATTCCTGCTATTTTCAAGAAAAATCTGCCTACTTTCCAGGAGTGGGCATACAAAAATTTATAATCTTAAATTTCCTAAGATTAAAATATCTGTGTTTCCAGCCCACAGAGATATATAATAGACTATATCAATCTAAAGTGCTACTTCTTGAAACGGAGGTAGTGTTGTTATTCAGGCGAAAAGCATACATCCCATATGTGTTAATGCATTCTGTCACTACTTTAGTCATATCCTCTTTGGTGCCTATCATTCATTTGAAAACCAAAGCAGCTCCTCAGCTGTCAATTTAGACTTTAGAAAATCGGAAACTAAAAAGAAACATTATTAACAAAATGCTTAGCTCTTATATACAAAACATTAGAAAATCCTTGAGCCATTTTAGCCATCATTTCATATCCACAATACCACCATGTGTAAATGCTGGCATTTTTATTAGCAAAGCATATGGATTAAAATTTAACTTAAGTATTTCAAACATATGTATCATACAAGATATTGCTTAACATATGTGTTATGATATATGCTTAAAGCCATAATCTAAATTGCTTAAGGGGAAGGTAAACTCTGGTGTCTGTTTTCTACATTTGTTGTTTCTATTCTCACATTATCGTTAGTTGCCAATTCTGGGACTGTTCTACCTAAGCAAGAGCAGGAGATTTGTGTGTGAACATAACACCTCACCTCACTGACAAATTTACCTCTTATTTTTCTTACACTTGCCAACATTTTGAGTAAAGCTGAATTAATTTGTGTATCTTACACAAGACTGGGTACTTTTCTACTATAATATTACAACTAAGTGTTTAGAATCTTTAGACAAGCTTTGATTTGTTTCTGTTTTTATTTTTATGTTTTCAATCAAGGGAACATGATCTCTTTAGAAATGAGAGCCGAATACTTGGGTTCGCATGGGAAGCTCTGAATCAGATATTAGTTAAACCAGTTTGCATTTCCTTGTTCTTGTAATTGTCTTTTATTCTCTGATTATCATCATTTTTCTTGGTTACATTTGGTACCCCGAAATCTGATTGAAGAAGAGGAAGAGAAGAAAGAGGTAGAGGAAGAGGAGGAGAAAGAGGACTCCTTTTTGCCCAACATGCCTCAAATCCCTGCAAAATAATCAGCTTGAGGCCAGGCATCATGGCTCACTTCTGTAACCCTAGCTTTGGGAGGCCAAGGCAGGGGGATCACTTGAGCCCAGGAGTTCAAGACCAGCCAGGGCAACATAGGGAGACTCTATTTAACATAAAAATAAATAATAAGCTTGCTGATGACATACCCTAGTATTTTATGTGACCTAGTAAGACATTCTTATGGTTTGTATTCACCTTATCCTCACCATATGTCTAAACTTTCACACAGGCTAATTACCCTGATTAGAACATACGGTATGTCAACAGGAAGGTTTAAATTCATTAAATAAATAAAGTTAGTGAGTCTATTTGAAAGCAATAGTGTGATGTGGAGAAGAAAGTCAAGGTTTTGAGGTGTCATTCATGCTGAGTCTTCTATGAACGAGGGCAGGTTAGTTTGCCTTCCTACCTTAAAGCTATAATTAAAACAGTTGTGTTATAGAATTTTATATTAGAATAATAGTAACAGTAGTCATTTTTATTTTTATTTCTTCTCAAATTTTTCAGTTTTACTTCTGGCACTGATGAACCTTAAATTTTTCTCACTTAATTTTCAGCTATGAGCTATTCCTTTGCATATTCATTTTGTCAAAGGAGTACTCACCAAATGGATCCTGAGTTTTATTTTTCAGTAGATTATTTTGATAAGATTGTCTCCTCACATTTAAAAATATGCCTTTTTGTATTATTTCATATTTCATTGCAATTATAATGCTCTGAAGATGGTGGTGTGGCAGTGGGATGGAGAAATGTGCTTCTGAGGCTTATTCTCTAGCTTGATTCTGTTTAATTACCTTTTACAATTATTCGTAAAACAATTTACAGAACATCTCGTAAGTCATATGTTCTAATGTTTCTTAATTTTTTTCTTTTTTGCTTTCATTATTATTACTATAGACACATAATTGTACATATCTATGGGGTACAATGTGATATTTGTATACATGTATAAAACAAATTAGCAAATCAGGGCAATTAGCATATTTACCATCTTAAATATGTATCATTTCTTTGTGTTGGGAACATTTAAAATTCACTGTTCTAGCTATTTGAAAATATACAATAAATTGCTAATTATAGTTACGCTATAGTGCTATAGAACACTCAAACTTATTCCTCCTATCTAGCTGTATTTTGTGTTTCTTAGCCTACCTTTGGCTATCTCTTTCTTCCCCCTACCCTCTTCTGCTTCTAGTAAGCACTATTCTGCTCTCTACTTGTATGAGATCGACTTTTTTTAGCTTCTTTATATTCATGAGGACATGCAGTATCTATCTTTCTGCGTCTAGCTTATTTCACTTAAAATAATGTCCTCCAAGCTCATTCATGTTGCCTTGAATGACAGAAATTTGTTCTTTTATGCAACTAAATAATATTCCATTGGTATATATAGCACTTTTTTTATCCATTCACCTATTGATGGAAATGTAGGTAATTTCATGTCTTGGCTATGTATCATAAATAGTGCTGCAATAAACATGTGAATACAGATAGCTCTTTGACATCTGAATTTCCTTTCCTTTGGCTATATATCCAGTAGTAGGATTGTGGGATCATACAGTAGTTCTAGTTTTAATTTTTGAAGCACCTTCATACTGTTTTCCATAATGGACATACTAATTTACATTCCTCCAAATAGCATATAAGAGTTTGCTTTTCACCACCTACTCTCAGCTTTTTGTCTCTTTGGTAATAGCCATTCTAACTGGGGTGACATAATATATTCTTATACTTTGGATGTGCATAACCCTGATGATTAATGATGTTGATCATTTTTTGTATATACCTATTGGCCATTAGCATGTCTTCCTTGAGAGATGTCAATTCAACTTATTTGCCTACTTTTTAATGTGATTTTTTTTTGCTGTTAAGTTGAATTTATTTTATATTATGAATACTAAACTCTCATCAGATAGTTTGCAAATATTTTCTTCTATCCTGTAGGTTGTCTTTTCACTCTGTTGTTTCCTTTGCTGTGCAGAAGCTTATTAGTTTGACAATATTCCATTTGTCTATTTTTGCTTTGGTTGTCTGTGCTATTGAGGTCTTATCCATGAAATCTTTGCTCACAACAACATCCTACAGTATCTCCCCCATGTTTGCTTCTAGTTACTTCATAGATTCAGGTCTTATATTTAAGTTTTTAATCCATTTTGAGTTGATTTTTACATGTTATGTGAGATAGAAATCCAGTTTTATTTTTCTGCATATGAATAGTCAGTTTTCCCAGCATCATTTTTCAGACTGTTCCTTCTCCATTAAATGTTCTTGGCAGCTTTGTTAAAAATCCTTTGGCTGTATATGTGAATTTATTTCTGGGTTCTCCATTCTGTTCTATTGTTTTATGTATCTATTTATATGCCAATATTATGCTGTCTGGGTTACTATAGCTTTGAAATATATTTTGAAGTTCAACAATGTGATTTCTCCAGCTTTGTTCTTTTTGCTTGGGATTGCTTTGGCTATTCAGGGTCTTTTGTGGTTTCATATAAATTGTAGGAGGTTTTTTTTTCTATTTCTGTGAAGAATGTCATTGGTATTTTGATAGGATTGCACTGAATCAGTAAATCACTTTTAGCCGTGTCATTTTTACACTATTAATGTCTCCAATTCATGAACATGAGGTATGTTTTCATTTTTGTGTCCTCTTCAGTTTTTATCATCAGTGTTTTGTAATTTTTTTTGTAGAGATGTTTCATCTCCTTGGTTAAATTTATTCCTATGTGGGTTGTTTTTTGTAGCTATTATAAATGCAATTTGTTTCTTGATTTTTTTTTTTCCCACTAGTTTGCCTATGGTGTATAGAAAAGCTACTGGGTTCTGTTATGTCTATTTTGTATCCTGCAACTTTACTGAATCTGTTGATCAGTTCTGAGATTTTTGGTGGAGCTTTTATGGTTTTCTACATAGAAGTTCTTGTCATCTGCAAATTAGGACAATTTGACCTCCTTTACAATTTACATACTCCTTATGTCCTTCTCTAGCCTAAGTACTCTGTCTAGGGCTTCCAGTAGTATGTTGAATAAAAGTGATGAAAGTGAGATCATTGTCTTGTTCCAGATCTTAAAAGCTTTAAACTTTTCTCCATTCAATGTCGTGTTGGCTATGGGTTTGTCATACATGGCTCTAATTGTGTGGAAGTACATTTTTTCTGTACCTAACATGTTGATAATATTTATCATGAGGGGATGTTGAATTTTTCTCAAATACTTTTTCTGTATCTATTGAGATGATCAAATGGTTTTGCCCTTCATTTTGTTGATGTATTGTATCACATTTATTCATTTGTGTATTCCATCCCTGAGGTAAATCCTATCTACATGGCGAATAATCTCTTTAACATGCTGCCGGATTGGTTCACTAGTATTTTGTTGAGGATTTTTCTTTTCTTTTTCTTTTTT